CTTCATTAGGGTTAAACCGTTAGTAGTCCGCGTTTTTTTTGCCCACAATACCTGCGACTTCACAGTGGATTCCATGTTCGCTGCAGACGAAGGGCGCGGTGTTACGTAATTGGCGCGTGTGTTGTGCTGTGGGTGCGCTTATTTCCCGCGGCAAACAAAGCAGACAGTGCCTGGGGTCTGGAAATAGCAAGAGAGATAGGTCGTCGGTCCAGCACACCTTCCTCGGTGTAAACAATCTGAGGCGCTTGAATCCATCACGCTGCGCTAAAAGCCGTGGCTTGAAATACTACCAACTGATGGGATAACTTGATCGTCGCAGTTAAGCCAGTGTGCGTGTGTTCGTAGGAAGTGGCGGACTGGCGGAATGAGAGTCAAACTGTTGTGGTGGCATGCTTAAGGCTGCAGATGCAGCGCACATCTGCCACCACTATCATTTAATTCACGCGCAAGTCACCGTCTCTGCACCCATTCTGGTACGGCCGATGTCGTCTGAGCTGACCTTCGAACTTTGGATTGATTTATAGCCTGGGGGACAGTCATAATGGGGTCTGGGCAGCGGCGTTCTAAACTTTCATAGAAACGCATAAGGCAGAATAGACGCATGCGAGGAACGAATGTTCTAGGCAGGTTGTGGGCAGGTGGACAGAAAATGGTGACTGTTTTCGGGGCTCTTAGTACTAGCTTGCCAGTTTCAGTGCAATGCAGTCGCAAGTAACCGACAGGGCCGTTGCGTGATCCGGTGGCAGTAAGAACAGTCTGGTGCTGTGTCTACTGCGTTGATGGGAGTGGCTACGTTGTTAATGGTGATGACGCTGGTGGTGGATTTATGAGTGTTGATGGGAGGCGCATTTTCTGACAACGAAGAGTACGGCTCTTTGCTCGTCGAAATTATGGCTATATTCGTCTGAGGAAAAAGCAAGCCATAGTTGTAGGGGTTTGGGCCAATCAAACATTAGTGACACCAGTCCGGAGGTGACTGTGCAGGACTATATGTCGGTGTCAGATTGGTTAATCTATTAACTGCGTTCTCATCGGAGGCCCAGGCTCCAGTCACTTCTGGCATGGGCGTTTACGTTTGCGGTTGCGAGCTTAAACTCATGTCCCGTTTCTTATGCGAGAGGGAAGCATGCTTCCAATCTGTCCGGTGTAGTTCAGAGGGCAGTTTAGGCACGGGATGCCATACATTACTCTCACCTCCCTAGGATCTAATTGGCCCTTTACTTTCGTGGGCCGCTGCGCAATTCCGACACTTAATTCTGCCCTCGGTCGCCTCTGACACGTCATTGATGTATGGCAGCGCATGTCATACAGTATGGAAGAGCCTTCTGCCGTTCTCATACACATGCCTGGAATTTGATCATCGGCCTCGATTCCTGATCTCCGCGCTCTTGTTTTTTTTACGTGGTTGTCACTTTGTGCTAGAAAATTTCCTACAGTTTATCCTCGGTAACATATCCTCATCAGTATAAAGTCGTTCAACGCCCCGCATCGGCTAACCCAGTCCCATCCACTACACCCTGTGGCACAAGAACCACAGTAAAGAGGAGCTATACCCTGTCTGAGTAAAACCGAGCTTCCCCTCAGTTGCGACCTTTGAAACCTTGAGTGCTTAAATGCGCATTTTGTCATCTGTAACCCTGCAACTGAATAGACATGTGTTCGGGCAAAGTGGCCGCGGTGGTTTGAAATCTAATGTGTTCTTCACACGGCAAGCGAGTCACTGCATTGCTGTTTAATCGTCTTTTTATCTCGTCTCCCAAGTCCGGGTTCCTGGCCCACAGCAACTGGGCTGGATTGCGCGTTTGTCAA